TTTTCTGGATCACAATTGTCAACTCTGATTGTAATGCCACGGGTTTCCAAAAATGGGAGTATTTCAGGGGGACTTAGATTTGGTGGTACCCAGTTATGCTCAGATACAGTGCAATGTTCTGAGCTCCCCATGGATGGTGCTTTTACGGGGGGAGCAACATCAGCAGAAGACTTGATTTCGGGCTCTACATCTGATGCAGTAAGTGTCTCACTGTCAAAGGAGTCACTCTCCTCGGATTTGCTTGTCAGCAAGGCGTATACTTCAGTGTAGGAATGTGCCATAGCGACTTTCTAAGTTGTAAAATATGTTTTTCACACACTCCTTCAACCCACCCCTAATTCCCACTTCCACCTATTAAAAATAACAAAAGATAGCAAAATGGCATTGATTAGCTATTTTAAAATAAAGCTGGCACTGATTAGTAGTGATGTCGCGAACCCGAAATTTTCGGTTCGCGAACGGCGAACGCGAACTTCCGCAAATGTTCGCGAACCGGCGAACCGCCCGAAACGCCATTGACTTCAATGGGGAGGCGAATTTTAAAACACACAGGGACTCTTTCTGGCCACAATAGGGATGGAAAAGTTGTTTCAAGGGGACTAACACCTGGACTGTGGCATGCCGGAGGGGGATCCATGGCAAAACTCCCATGGAAAATTACACAGTTGATACAGAGTCTGGTTTTAATCCATAAAGGGCAGAAATCACCTAACATTCCTAAATCACAATCAATATGGATTGACACCTGACATATGACATATTGACACCTTGACATATGGATTGACACCTGTCCTCAGAGCCCCTGATGCACACGGACACAGAGCAGAATAGAGACTGGTCCCCTACATAGGGTCACTTGGCAATATGGATTGACACCTGTCCTAAGGATCCCTGATACACACTGACACAGAGCAGAATAGGGACTGTTCCCCCTACATCGGGTCACTTGGCAGATATGGATTGACACCTGTCCTAAGGTTCCCTGGTACACACTGACACAGAGCAGAATAGGGACTGGTCCCCCTACATCGGGTCACTTGGCAGATATGGATTGACACCTTGTTACAAACTGCTATTTGTAACGGCCCCTTTAAATGGCAAATTGCCCTGTTTCCCTGGGTTGTGGAGAAGCCTCTTTGCCAGCCTCCTCCCGCATGACTATGGCCCCTGGGAGATTGTGAAAATGTATGCACTTTTATTTGGTGTGTATGGCCCTTTAAGACTGTCGGTGGGCATATTGGGGCTTATGGACTCTTTATGCGACTGGTGCTGGCCCTTTAAACACCTTTTTTGGGACATCAGGAAGATTGGGACACTGCCCCTTTAAGGCCGTGTCCCCAGACTTGTTGGGGACACGGCCCCTTTAAGACGGTGTCCCCTGTGACCCCAGACCTGGTGCAAACCCTTTGTGC